GTGGGGGGGGCGGGGCCGGGGGCGGGCCTCTGCCGCGGCGAAGGCCCTGATTGGTCCCGCCGGCAGGAAGTAGGCAGTGAAAGCGCTGCTTCTGTTACCTTCCGGGCTGCGGGGCGGCTCGCGAGGCGGAGGAGGTTGTCGGGCGGCAGGAGCCGCTCTTGCTTTAAATCGCGAGCGTGGGAACGTGGGGTGCAAAACGGGTTCCGTTCATCCCGGTGGGTCCCGAGCCCTGGCAGCCTTTTCGCGAAGGGGCCTCGCCAGAGCGACTGGGCCCCAGTGGGCCCGGGTTCCACTCGGACCGGCTCTCTCGCCGGATTGCGCCGGAGCCGCAGGAAGGGGGTTGCCCGGTGGCTCCCTGCCGCCCGCGCAGCTCGGCCGAGGCCCCCGTCTCATCCTGGGATCTCTTTTTACCCTGTTCTGCAGGCTCGCTTGCGGCGACATGGCTCAAAGGGCCTTCCCGAATCCTTATGCCGATTATAACAAATCCCTGGCCGAGAGCTACTTTGATTCTGCTGGGAGGGTGAGTTTGGGATAGATCGACTTGCGTCCCTACCTCCCCCGCTTTAGGTTTCGGAAGGAGCTCGGTTTTGCCTGGAGGAATTCGAATTTCCCTTTTTAATAATAAGATTTAAGAAGAAATATGTAAAATAATGCTGGTCTGTGCAGTGCATGTTAAAATGTTCAGTTTCAGCTATAACGTGTTGAATATCTGAATTAAGTTATTGTGAATATCAGCATTTATAGGATAATCTCAGTCACTGATAAGATAAATTATAAAAATCGGCTGGTTTGCCCTTGACCGTGTAACTTGCATTTAAAAAAATCTGTTTTGGTTTGCTTCTTAAAGGCAGGGTGAGGAATCTACTGGTATTCACACGTGCCATGTTGTTCCTTTATGACTACACAAGTAAAGGCCTGCTTATGATGAGAACAAACGGGGTGCGTGGTGATGACAACATTAAGCCGACAGTGCTTAGAGAAATTTAGGAGATAGGCCTTAAATTTCCTGTCGCTACTCTGTAAGCTACCCCCACAGTTTTCCGGTGGATGGAGTGGGAGAATCTTAGCACTTTGCAAATCACCTGGAAAAGTGAATCTGAATAGGAGCTAGCAGGGGGCTGTATCTTCTTCTGCCTGATGGCATGTAATTAGAGGGAAGAGTGGATTTCGACATTAAAAAAATTTTTTTTTTACCAGTTTATGTCTTCAAAACATTAGTCATACAAAAAGCATTTCACATATGACATAACGGCCTCATAGTTTTCATAGCTTTCAAGTTAACTTTCTGTGGTCTGTTGGTTCTTTCCTTAAAATGCTTGGCATTAACATTAACTTAGACTAGGAGTGCAGGTAGGAGGTATGAAAGAGATGGAGAAAAGGCATAGGGTAGAAGGCTACCAAAATGTACCTGGAGTTGTCAATCTAATTATTTTAAGGCCAATAGTAAGCCGCTCAAACATAACTTTATATAATTATATTCAGGCCGGATGGCTTCCCTTTGACCGTTTTGGGTCTGCGTTCTGCCTGCGCCTGCAGATCCTGAAGCTGAAGATGCGTCTTGTTTTGTTGGAGGAAGACATGCTGCTTCATGCACACTTGGCAAACAGAACACTTGAGGGTGTGTCCTAGTAACACAAGCCTTCAATACAGTGCAGCTCACGAGGCTGCTTGGCAGTTAAATATTCTTTATAAATTTAACTCATTAATTCTAAGGGAGAAAAAAAAGACATTCATAAATTTAAACCAACTCACAAATAGTAAGGTAATTTATTAACTAACATAGTTTTTAAATAGGTTCTGGAAAGAACCTAGTATACCAGTTCTAAAATTGTCAATGTTCAACACAAAAGATCAGACCCCTGAGAGCTGTCCTCCTTAATTTGTTAACAAAGATTTCAATAAGGAACTTGTCTGTTTTCTGGCATCTATCAGGGAAAAAAGGGCTTTTAGAGAACCTTCACATTATTGGTAGAGTTTTAATAATTCAGTGATCTGCCACAAGCAATCAATATTCTCAGGCAGGTCACCTTTATTTTTAAACACAGGACGGGCCAAATACAAAGTGACTTCCCTTCCTGAGGCTTTGAGCATTCTCATCCTTGGTCTCTTCAAGTAAGGCCAAGCAAGATAATAAATTATGCATGATCTGTGTACAGAAGATGACATGTTCTCATGTAGATGCACTCTTCTGTTGAGATTTATAGTCCTCTTGTATTAATATTGAAGCATATTTTATCTTACTGTATTTTCAGTTCTTGTGGCAGTCTTAAAATTATTAAATTAAACATTGTTAAATTAAAAACTGCTAAGTCATGGGAACGCCCCTGTCAAATCCTGTGGTTTCTTCTTCAGAGTGTGAAATAAGGGATTGTGGTGGTGCTTCAGAATAGGTAATACAGATGTGGTAGAATGTCTGATTTGCCTTATAAGGGATGGTCCTCAGAATTGCATCTTAGCATCTTAAATTATTATTGTGCTGCTACTGTCTTCTCACCTTTTTCAGTGTTAAGATGTTCCTTTTCAGAAGTGAGATTTTGATGCTAACAGGGAGTGATTAGTAGTAGTGATTGTAGTGTTTCTACAATTCTAACATAAAAATGCAGTGTTTGGTCCCTTGTAATGTTACTCAATCTTGTCCTAAAATTTTACTGTTTTGTGAAATCTTAAGTATGGGAGTCACAGCAAGTTCTCAGCATAATTGAGGGATACATTAGAGTGACCTTAAAGATATTTAAATGATTCCCTATATACAGAAGTACAAGAGTTTATAATAGTCTTCATTATGTCTTAGGAACATAATGATTCTGTGGGCCTCACCATCTGCCCAAATCTGTGGGCCTTCATACTGGAGGTGTCTAAGCCCAGAGCCCCAGCTGTGGTATACTTTCAACTCATATCGAACTATTATTTGACATAGACACTTGGGCCTCTAAAGTATAATAAAATTGTTAACATTAACATTCCCACATGAGATGGACCTGTTACATACCATCTAATCTAATATGCAAAGCACCTTTTGAAATTGGTGGGGCAGGTATTACTATCCCAACTTGATGAAGGTAATTGAAGCATAAAGAAGTGATGAATTGAGCAAGAACACTAAGCTAGTAACAGGTAAGGATATAGCCAGGCTCATTCATTTTACAATATGAATCCTGTTACTTTCCGCCAGACACTGCTGGGGCATGGGTTTCTGATGCTAGACTTGATGTCCTTTCCACTTTGAGGCTCGTAATATTACACACACATATAATAGATTGTTTGGCTTTTTTATGCCACCTCTAATTTTTTTTTAAAGATAGGCATTAAAAATGCAATTAGAATGTTTCTGTGGAGAATTAACATTGCTGCTCCTTGAATACTAAAAATCCAGTGGCTTGAAAACAGCAAACATCTGGTTTGTGCTTAATAAGAAATACTGGTTTAAATAATAGTTAATCCTTCCTTATTAGGTAGAAAATTATGATGCAATTTATCATTGGCAGTCTCTTTTAGTATTTAAAATTATATATCAAACATTTAAGTTACAACAATATTTCTTACCATGAGTAGAAAATGTCATAGTATGTTTAAGCTTTGTTAATATACTGTTGTTTAAGAATAGATAATAAATTGTCTAATTCAGACAGAAAAGTGTGGCCTAACTGGTAATGAAGTACTGTCTTCTTTTTGATATTGTCCAGGAAATTGAGTGGCCTATACTTTTTGATACTTGTTTTCCCTTAATATCTGTAGCTGATGCCCGAGTTCTCACAACGCTTGACCAATAAGATTCGAGAGCTGCTTCAGCAGATGGAGAGAGGCCTAAAGTCAGCAGACCCTCGAGATGGGACTGCTTACACTGGCTGGGCAGGTAGGAAGTGCTGACTGTGAGCTGAAATAAGCATTGTATATGAGAGCCAAACCTTACCTTTGGAGAGTTGTCTCATTGAATGGTATGCCCTTACATGCTTCCTGCACCTGCACACGAGTAACTCTTCTAGGAGAGAGTGCTGTGCTGTGAACCCAGGCATGGGACTTCTGGATTATTGACTGAGCCCAGAATTTAGGGCATGGCAAGCATGTTCCAGATGTTCATGCAGGATATTTAGACAGCTTCTGTACTTTGGGGGAGAAAAATTGGTTTTCAACATGGCATAGTTAGTTTGGAAGTGGAATCTCGGTGGAAAGAGTTAGGAAGAGCTCCACAAGACAGTACCTGAAACAGAAGTAAAAAGGATTTGTCTCAGGAAACATGCCAGACTGTTTAAAAACATTGTTCTGCAACAGAGACCCATACAGGAAAAATGGTTAAATGTTAGTCCGATGAATGAGTCCTTCCATATGGTCACTGCCGGTTGGTTTGCATTTTATACACTGCCAGTCTCAATCATTAAGATGTTGGAGAAAATTTGGGCAGAAATAGTACATTAGTGTCAAGTGAGAGAGAGAAACCAAAGAAGGCAAGTTGAAGAATGGCAGTTAGTTTACCAATGTACAGAGACAAAAAGGCAGCTTTGTAATCTTGAAGAAGGTACAGTCTAGAAACTCAGCATTTTTCATTAAATAGTGGACAGAAAGGGGCAAATTTGCCATTTAAGCAATTTGAATTTGATATTAAAGCAGTAATTTTTGTAAAAGAAATGCAGGCCTTACAGCAGAGGTTTTGATTCAGGAGGTCTGGAGCAGGACCCAGGAATCTACATTTTATTAAGTATTAATGGTCCTGATGTAGGTGGTGATCTGCAGACAGCAGTTGGAGAGCTTTGTTATGAGAGAATTTTACTAACTAATGCAGTCTTCTAGCAAGCCTCTTTAGTGATGACATGGGATTCTGTTTTTCCTTATAAGGATAGAGAAGGCAAATCATATCAGTAAATGTGGACTCAGTACTTTACAAAACAAGAATAGACCAGATAATGTTGAGCTATCCCTGTTACAGTTTACTTTTTGATTTTTATGGATTTTAGAAGTTTAACACAAACACTATTAAGAATATTAAGCACAAGATGAAAGAAGTTTTAACAGCTGTCATTTATTGAGTATCTGTTGTTTTCCAGGTGTGGTATAATTGTTACATCAATCTCATTAGTGAATTTGCTACTATTTATTTAAATTTTAAGGATTTGAACAAAAAGCAAGTATAAAGCACAGTTGTTTTTAGTTTTCCTCGATTGTCATAAAAAATACATAGGCCCATACTTACAGATCTTATACTAATGTATTTAGAGTGTCCATTATTCTATTATTTTGTTAATCCTGACCAGAAAAAAAAAAAAAAAAAACACTGAAGCAGATGGCTTGACTTGATTTGATTTCAATATTGATTATAAAAAGAAACAAATCTTTAAATCACCTGTTCAGATGAATTTATATTATTATAATAGATCTTATTCTAATGGAGAAAAGTGATAGAGTTTGTTTTTAAATTTGACCTAATTATTTTTTTCAGACTTATTTATTTATTTGAAAGACAGAGTGACTGACAAAGAGGGAGAGACCGAGTGAAAGATCTTCCGTCTGTTGGTTCAGTTCCCCAGTGGCCGCAGCAGCTGGGGTTGGGGCTGGGCCAGGCTGAAACCCAAGAGCCAGGAACTCTATCTGGTCCTCCCATGTGGATGACAGGGGCCAAGTACTTGAACCATCTTCTACTGCCTTCCCAGGCACATTAGTAGGAAGCTAGATCAGAAGCAGAGCAGCCTCAACTTGAACCTGTGCTCTGATAAAGGATGTCTGCACTGCAGGCAGTGGCTTACATGCTGCACCTCAAGGTCAACCCCAAGTTAATAATTTGAGAGTGCTAAGAAAAACCATCAGTCAGACCACCCCCCTCCCATATTACTAGAGCTCATTCAGAAGCTAAAAGTTAAGTTTCTTTGGAAATATAAAACAAATTTCACTTCAAAGTAAAATGCCAATTTGCTGAAGTTTTTTGGCTAAATGAGGTTTCTGGCATCATCTCTTTTGACTGTCAGTATCCTTCAGTCTTTTATCATTTATTATCCATGATTCTCATTGCTAGTTCCTGAAAGCACCTCATATGGCCAGTGTCTGAGGCAAATTGGCATGTTAAGCATTTGGGATGTCTTCACTTGCTGATTGTTTTATGATGTATTATAAAATCCATTAGATAAAATTGCTAATAGCTTCCAAGGCACAGTTCCTAATGTCTCCTAATCGAACACTGTTAAAAAGCCATTATTCTCACACACACACACACACACACACACACAATCAACAACACTGTGTCCTCAAATGTTTTGATAAGTAAAATGCTGCCCTGTACCAGTGTTTAGCCCCTCTGAATGACATAAAGCTTTGAAAATTAGACATTGCTACAACGAATACTGAAACTAGATTCCTATCCCTGATCATATACAAAATCAACTCACAAGGAATCTGAGACCTGAAACTATGAAACTACTAGAAGAAAATATAAAGGAAATACTGCAAAACATCAGTATAGGCAATGACTTTTTAAAATAAAAGCCCAAATGCATACAAAATAAAAGCGAATATAGACAAACAGGATTATGTCAAACTAAGAAGCTTCTACACAGCCAAAGAAAGAGCAGAGTGAAGAGACAACTTACAGAATAACAGAAAATATTTGCAAACTATTCATCCAACAAGATACTGACAACTCAACAATAAAAAAAAAATCCAGTCAAAAAAAGTACAAATGATTTAAGTAAACATTTCTCAAAAGAAGAAACATAAATGACCAAATGCTATATTAAAATATCTCAACACCAGTAACCACAGGGAAATACATGTCAGAACACAATGAGCTACTCACCCCAATTAGAATAGCAATAATCAAAAAGATGAAAAAAAAAATAACAAATGTTGGCAAGGGTGCAACAAAAGGGAACTATTAGATACTGGTGGTAAGATTGTAAGTGCAGTAACTATGGAAAACAAACAAGGGTCCTCAAACTAAAATTGAAAATAGAACAACTATATGATCCAGCTATTCCACAAGGGGATATATATTCAGAGGAAATGAAAGCAGAATATCAAAGAGATACCTGGCTTCCCATGTTTATTATAGTACTACACAATAGCTAAGGTATGCAATCAACTTAGATGTTGATAGATGATCAGCTGATGGGTGAATGGATAGAGAAAATGTGGTATATACACATACTAAAACATCACTCAGACATTTAAAAAACTAAATCCTGTCATTTGCTTAACATGGGTGGAATTCAGAATGTTTTCTTAAGTGAATTAAGCCAGGCACAGAAAAACAAATGCTTCAAATTCTTACTCATCTATAGAAGCTAAAGAAGCTGATTTTCTTATAAGTAGAGAGTAAAATAGGGCTTACCAGTGGCTGAGAAGGAGAGGGGAGAAATTGAGATTGGTTATAAGGGACAAAAATACAGTGGCTTAAGAGGAATAAGTTCTCGTGTTCCATAGCATAGAAGGCTTACTATAGTGGACAATAAGTTTGTTGTTTGTCTGTTCCAAATAACCAGAAGAAAGGACTTGAATATTCCTTTTTTTTTTTTTTTTTGACAGGCAGAGTGGATACTGAGAGAGACAGAGAGAAAGGTCTTCCTTTTGCCGTTGGTTCACCCTCCAGTGGCCGCCATGGCTGGCGCGCTGCAGCCGGCGCACCACGCTGATCCGATGGCAGGAGCCAGGTGCTTCTCCTGGTCTTCCATGGGGTGCAGGGCCCAAGCACTTGGGCCATCCTCCACTGCTTTCCCCGGGCCACAGCAGAGAGCTGGCCTGGAAGAGGGGCAACCGGGACAGAATCCGGCGCCCCGACCGGGACTAGAACCCGGTGTGCCGGCACCGCTAGGTGGAAGATTAGCCTATTGAGCCATGGTGCCAGTCTTTAATATTCCTAACACAAATGAAAGTTAAATGTTTGAGGTGACAGATAAGTTAGTTGCCCTGATTTGATCATTACACACTGTATACGTGTACTGAAATATTACATTTTACCCAATAAATATCTGAAAGTATTATGTCAATTTAAAATAATCAAATAAAACACATAAAGCTCTTAAGTTTCATAAGAAACCTAAGCTGACTCAGCCACAGAAAATAATACTAATCCTTCTCCTCCCATTGTTAGAGCTTGCCAAGTATTCTGTCTTCATAGCTGTACTTTCAGTACCAAAAGTTTATTCTCAATACAATAAAAATACATGGTTTGCAGGACAAAACAATGCTTATATAATTGAGATTTGCATGTTGCTTTCTGTATGCCTCATATTATCTTTCAAAATTTATACTTTTTAGGAAACAGGGATTATATTGCCTTAACTTTGTTCAGCACCAAATTTAAGACCTTGTTTTTTTAAAATAATGACTTAGTGATTGCTCTTGTTACATTAGTCTGGGAAACACTGATTCATTGTGAAAAACCTTTAAAATCTTTTTTCAACATTGACGTTTATTGAGAACTTGTTAGGGTACCTTGAAAGCTTTTGCAAAGTTATATGATTCATTGTATAGTTTGTATGAGAAAACTGCACGAGTATTACAATTAGAATCTTACTGTCTTTAAAAAGTGTCATTCTCTGGTAGAAATATGGTCTAATAGCTATCAGAAAGGGTTAGGATTTGAAAAAGAATTAGTTTCAGCTGCTTATACCAAAAAAATTAATACCTTATTTTTCTCTTGTATGATAAAAGGCCAGAGAGTGGTAGTCCAGAGCTGATTTGGTAGCCTCAGGATATTAATAAGAACAAAACCACCCTTCTTTCTGCTCCATCACTGCTGAGACAGTAGCTTCTTCCTCTTCATTAAGATGGCAACTGAAGATCCAACCATTACAGCAGCTTTTCAGGCTTCTGGAAGGCAGAAAAGGACAAGAATGCATTCCTTATTTTTAGAAAGATTTCCCAGAACTCCCTACCATTTCAATTCAGCTTGCTTTACATTGGAAGGAACTTGGTCACAAGAAAGGATTATACATATAGTCTGTCTATTAGCTGAGGTTCTGTTACTAAAGGTAATTGGAGAGTTGATGTGGGCATAAGACCTAATTATCTCTGCCGTAACTCCTGTATAATAAGCAAAGTGCTTCTCTTCTTTATTCTTATGTTTTGAACAAGCCATTTAGACAATAAGCCTCAATTTTTTCATCTGCCAAAAGGATCTCTTAACTTTTGCCCACTTTTGGGGGGATTTTTGTAACACTGTGAAACTGGGTAAGTAAGCAAATATTTTGCCTGGTGTTTGTTTCCAGGGAGACTCATTTTGATTCAAAACATCTTTATTCTTTTAAATTTTTTTCTTAATTTCAATGAGTAATAGACTTTTCATAAAGCTTGCCATAGAAAGGACTGTTATAGATATGACAAATCAAGGATGATTTTTCTAGAGAGAAGCTTCTAAAAAAGGCTGCAATTAATTCTAAACTTAATATTGTGAAACTCTACTGTTTTCTCTGCTTGCTTAAGTTGTTCTGTGCCTCCTCTTTCTGCTGGCTCTTGTTTCCTGCTGCAGAGTTATAAAGTTCTCAATTTACTTGTACTATGCATCAATCCACATTAAACCCCATTTTCATATGATAAATAAAATAAATCTTTAAGAAAACTACGAAGCTCTGCTTCCTAACTTCATAATGCCTCATTCCCTACTGTGTAGACTTGCTTCAGTTGCTCAGTTAATCTTGGAAAGGAAAGGTTCTCGTGAAGAGATGAAGCACCTGTGTGTTTAATGTGGTGTATGTATTTACAGCTGACAACTGGACTAATGGAAAAATTGAGACCAGTGCGGACAGAGTACTTATTAAAATTTCTGCCAGAGCATCTCTGTGTGTTAAATATGTTTTTGAAAATAATAATTATAATTAGTTAGGCCTTCACCATTTTCATTTGTTGTATGTCATTCCTCAGTAGTAATATGATCTGATAGTTCATGCTGGTATAAATAAGAGTAGGATCTGGAATTGGATTATTACACACAATCCATCTGTACAAAATGCTTCACTGACAGGGTGATATGTGTAAGTTTAAACAGAAATTTAAAAGAAGCAAATAATTGCCTTGGAATATGTTCACTTTACAAACTACAATGGAAATTATCTTGGCTTTTAATATGAGGCTATGGTGCAGTAATGAGAGTGATTAATAGGGATTTTTAGTAGAATAAAGCATCATTCTTCTGAAGCTTCTACAGTTACACTTGTGGGTTGTCAGAGTTCAGTTTTACAAGCTGTGCCCCTAACTTTTACCTTTTTTCATTCACAACAGAGAAATAAAATGCCTTCACCCTAGAAAAGAGGAATGTCTTTTAAAAACCTTGCAGCTGTTTCTTATTTTCACATGAGGCAATCATTACCATAACGCCTTTACCATAACTTCCTCTGCTGTCTCATACCCATCCAGGAATGGGATGTTGCAGTAATCAGATTTCCAGGCAGTAAATCAAGGTAAACAGTTAATACTGCACATTAACATTCAAAAAAGAATTCAGACATTTGGCACAGCCCACATCCCAGATCACAGTGCTTGGGTTGGGGTCCTCATACCACTTCTGATTCTTGCTTCCTGCGATTGCACACCTTGGGAGGCAGCAGGTTTTGCCCAAGTACTTGGGTGCCTGCTGCTCACATGGGAGACCCAGATTATGATCCAGACTCCTGGCTTCAGTCTGACTCAGCCCAGATGTTGTGAGCATTTGGGGTATGAACCAACAGATGAGAGATTCTCTTTCTCTCTTCTCTTGTGCTTTTCAAATAAAAATTAATTGCAAAAGAGTTTTTAAAACAAGTCAGTAATTAAGCTGGCACCGCGGCTCACTAGGCTAATCCTCCACCTGCGGCGTCAGACCCTGGATTCTAGTCCCAGTTGGGGCACCGGATTCCGTCCTGGTTGCCCCTCTTCCAGGCCAGCTCTCTGTTGTGGCCCAGGAGTGCAGTGGAGGATGGGCCAAGTGCTTGGGCCCTGCACCCGCATGGGAGACCAGGAGAAGCACCTGGCTCCTGGCATTGGATCGGTGCTGCGAGCCGGCCGCAATGCGCCGGCCAGCCATAGCGGCCACTTGGGGGTGAACCAATGGAAAAAGGAAGACCTTTCTCTCTGTCTCTCTCTCTCACTGTCTAACTCTGCCTGTAAAAAAAAAAAAAAAAAAAAAAGTAATTTAATAATAAAATACTCATCTAATGAATGCATTTTGGTTCTTAAGGGAATAAGGATGATCAGTATGTAGTGTCATGATCATTTGACTGTTGGAAAGCAGGGCAAATGTTAAAACATGATTCCTGTTATTAAAAATGTTACTGTGGTTGAAATTTAAATTACAGGTGCAAGAATTTGTGTTCATGTACATCAAGAACTAATTTTATGTGGCTGGCATTATTCTCAGTATTTTGCATTAATTCACTAATATAAATCTCAAAACACTCCATGGCACGGATACTGTTCATAACCCCATTTCACAAATGAGAAGAATCAAGCACAGCAATGCTGACTGTCTCCTCTGAGGTTGTAAATCTAGTAAATAATGAAATGAGGGTTCAACCTCAATAAACCTGGCTCTTGCCTGCTATTTAAATTGAGTGTGTGTGTGTGTGTGTGTGTTCTCAACTTATACATTTAAGCTTATTGTGTATATTTGATAAGTAAAAATTACTCATAAGCTATTAAATGGTGTAGTTTGAGCGATGATAACATGATACCCATGTTTTATAAACTTTAGAAATGGCTAATGACTAGTAAGATTTGAGCATTTTATTTTTAAAAATTAGAATAATCCCTGATGAAGTAAGAAAGTAATTGAGAAAGGGGGAAGCAAAGTTTATTAGATAGGCAAGAATAATTGCTATTTAAAGGTCTATGAGGAAAAGTTACTTAGGCTTGCATATAAAGTAAACCCTACGAAGATGTATGGTCATAAGCAACTAGAAAAATGAATTCTGCAGGGTGTTTTTCCTCTTCCTGACCCTATATTAATATATTCAGCATGATTTCAGGATAGAAAATTAATTGGCCCAGGACAGAAGCTTTTTCTCATAATTGCTTGCATTTGAAAAGGCTTGTTGAAGATCTTCTCAAATGAATCATCATCCATAGTCTGAAATCAGTAGCTCTTGCAGTTGTTAATAAGCAATATTTTAAATGAACAGCTTCAGTTCTTTTCAACAAAATCTTCCTTTATAAAATTTACAACCTTGAAGCCTAATGCATTATGATAGTGATGTATGACATATGCCAGCAATAAGCACTGAGTTGTTCATTTTAGCCTTAATCCCTTCCCAGTAGATTTACAGGAGTTCTTAACAGTTTGTGCTTGCAGTTTAGATGGCAGGTGAAACATTTTGGTTATTTAGATGCCCCATCAGGGACTGTTACTTATGACTGTACACAGTAGCAACAGGCAGTGCAGGAACCTAGCAAGCATGCAGCCACTTAAGACCAAATCCAAAAGTGACCATCGGAGTGATTTCAGTGGGTCCCAAGATGTGTGGGGACTCATCGGAGAACAAAATGCTGCCTGCCATTGGGCTGCTCTGGATTTTGTTCCACGGGAAGACTGCAGGCTGCAGGGGGCAGAAGATTTTAAAGTGCTTTGTACAACTGAAAGCACAAAACACTTGTGAGAAACTGTTATTATAAAGGATTAAATGAGCAGATGAACTGTTCTTGTGTTAGAAATAAGCATTTACTAGAAGAGATTGCTTCCCTTCGCAGATAACATAGCAGAAAAGTTAAGTAAACCCAAGGGACAGCTGATCTCACTAGTGTCTTAAGAGAAAATGAGGGAAAGTGCTAGCCTCATTTAATTTCAGTTTTTTCCCCACTCTTAACTATGATGATTCCTAGGAGAAATGATGATCAGCTCATACTTAAAAAATCAGGACTCTGTGAGCTTTAATTCTGAAAGACATGACCCAATCTTCTGTAACCAACTCACAAAGTTAATGAGGCTAAGATTGGCATATATTTCCTCTTTTCAAGTATTAGATAACATTTTAAATAAGAGGATATGCAGCATAATCTCTGGAGTAATATTAACTTGCACTCTAAGTACAAGTCATTATGGTGTTTCAAGATGCTGTTCCTCTGATCTGCAGCCTTTGAGCTGCAGCTTTAGCATGCGAGTCTTAGTTACTGCTGGCATCAGGCTTATTTGAAAGGAATCAATCTGGCCAAATGTCTTCTCTTAGCAATTTGATCTCCTTATAAGTAGCTCTCCATCAGAGCCAGCATTTCATTGTCTGATTTGAGCCCAGACCAAATGTCCTTCACCTTCGTGAGAGGCCAGCCAGAGCTATGAGGACAAGTGGAAGGGATCGAGGGCATGGATCTAGTTGAGGTTTATTAGTGCCCTTTACAGTGACCACTGGATAGATGAATTTGCCAAGAGTGTTGGCTAGTTTCTTTCTGACTTCATGTTATATGGTATTAATGTCATTGTACTGTAGTTGTCTTAAATTACTAACACACAGGCTTATAGAAAATATAGGATGGAGCTGCCTCCAGGGTCCTTGGGTGAAACACTGAGAGCAGGATGAGAGTGTTTACAGACACATTTCAGAAGAAACGAGAGGAGGGAAAGAAGACACACCTAAGTAATTTGACTTTTGTAGGCAACACCAAGAAGCTAGGTCTGTGTGTATTCATTTACTCCAGTAACTTGAGCACCTAGCATAACACCAGGTTCATTTGGTGCTCACTGAATTTCGCTGAATGAATGAATGAGTGAGTGAATGAATGGAAACCACCTGCCATTACTATTCTACAGACCACCTCTGTAAACCGAAAACAGTAACTTAAACAAAAGTAGATGTGTCAGGGAAGGGTAGGAATTCAACTTATTTCAGAATTGTTAGACTATGAGTTAG